ATAGTGGCGACGTTACTCCTTAACTCGGCACTTCTCCTTGAATTAGCAAGGTTCCCTAGACAGGAGTCGGTAAGAGGGTAAATGTAAGGCTTATTTATAGAGCTCCGAACTCTGCCAAAAACACTTTTAGTCTCCAAATATGATTACCTGGTTTTAGCCCTTTCAAATTGGTCCATATAACAGTATACGGTTCGAAAGCATGGCGCATCCTGGCTGAATAACTAAGTTAGACGTTCTACTTTTACATCCGTCACTCTCTGAAACCAGTGTCAATTTTTCGATTTTTTTCCGGGTTCAGAAGGTAAGAAAAGCTGAGTTGGGATGAAATGGTGCCCCGGTAGCGTAACTGGTAGCGCACTTGCCCGGAAAGCGAGAGGTGCGGGTTCTAGTCCCGCCTGGGGCGAAAGTTTTGTTCACAACCCAGCATTCTTGTGAAACATTCGCAAGGCGAACTGCGGCCAAAAACAGCAGTTAACAAACAAAAACAAGTCTGGCTTCACAATTTTTTCCACATTTGAATGATCAGACCTTCCCACGTGGAGCTTCTGTTTCTTATTAGCTTCATAGGGATGTCCTTTGGACGAAATGTGTACTTGACTGAAAAATGTGTTTTTCGAGGAATCATTGCCGATTTTTTAATGGATTCGTTATTTCCCGCGAAAATCAGTTTCGGAGCGATTTCAAACGACAATCTCATGCCAAAGACATGCAAATGATCGTTCGTGTGTTCCGTTGTCCACGTAGTTGTCACAAGTCAGACGCGTCCGACCGCTAGCCAGCCTTTCTGTCTTTGTGTTTTCGCGGACTATCAGAACTCGTCGCCATGTTGTCTAATCGAAATCGACGTGAAATTGCACACAACGCGTTTTTCCGAGGATGTGAGCGCGATGTGCCTCCGGCCATCACACTGTGCTTTTTCACCAACCGCTGACGTTTCTCTCAAAGTACAGCCGGCTCGAATTCCGTGTATGTCCACGGGGAATTCCCTCCGATGAGGCGGGAACACATCATGACGACTCTGTTCGGCCGCGGGCTTGCAGCCCCAACGGCTGCAACTTATCCAAGAGCCTTTTGCCCTAAATGGGCATAATTAGCGGTGCGCGGTGTCAGCAATGGCGACGACCTCACGATGAGGTGAGCCCTGCCGCGCCAGGCCGGCCCCGCCCACCGAGAGAGGATCTCAGCGCCACGCCTCCACCTTCCGACCCTCCTATACTTCTGTGGTCAGCTGTGAAGAGTCGGGGATCCACTGATATTTCCTATTCACTGTTAAGGACATATGTCGTGTTCCGCTGAACCTTGGTCAGATATAGCCATTTTTAGCCAGAAGAAGCCTCAAAAGGTTAAGCTTCGCTGTCGACCTTTGTGACATTTTCACGTGTCTATACTCTTCTCTGAATTCTTCTAAAGAACTCTAAAGATTACTCGTCGTTATTTAGCCCATATTTGGCCAAATGCAGCCGTTGCCATGCAGCAGCCCTAATAAGACCCTTCAAGGCTACACAAAACACTGCCTTCAGCAAAATAGCCATTACAGCCATTATGAGCCAGCCTTGGCCATCAGTGATTAGAATCCTCTCAATCTCATTATCCATCTGCCCTTTTCTGCTGCTAATCACCTATCTATTGTCCTTACTCAGAACTCTCTAACATTTTTTGCTTTATCTTATATCTTACGTAGATGTGCATGGCTAACGCAACAGCGGATGAAGTGCCTTAAGGTTAAATGAAATGAGATCGCTCCGCCTCTCGCCCTGACCCCCCTTGCTGGCCATCGACCTTCCACCTTGTGTTTCCATAGCATGCGATTAATCTTGCGGGGTTACAAAGCACAAGCACAACACAGCAATGCAACAGGGTGGCATCAGAAGAGGGCTAGCGCTCATCCAGTAAGGGGGCATCAAGTGGCTGCCCTCACCCCCCCCCCTAGACTGCCTACACTCCCCCTGGCGCACAGGTTTCTCGAAGTACGGGACCCCGTGAGCCAGGGGGAGTGAAGCCAGTTCAGGGGGTGGGGGGTGAGGGCAGCTATTAGACGTTGCATCACAATGCCCCCCTTACCGGATGAGCGCCTGATTGCTGTGTTTGGAGTTGATTTTTTGCAGCATACGCACGCACACGCACCTGTTTATTCAAAATTGTGATTGCGCTCGAATATGTACATATGTACGCCATATAAAAAATTGGTGGAGAGCAATTGATCTTCAATTTCTCTCTTCTTATTTACGTTTGTTTACGCCATTACGGTCTGAACTTGGAGATGAGGAGCGTTTGATTGTCTTGGACGGAGACAGAACCAAGATTTCATTCACTGCTGATACTGCGGCACTGATGCCATTTGCCATTGACCCACCTCTTTTGGGGTTGGATTAAAAAAAGGGTTAATATTCTATAACCTTCACTTAGTTCAACCCCCAATTTCGGTTGGTTGCGTTGCCTAGACTGACCTGCACTTACCGTTTTTGATATCCAGGTCACCTGATAATGCAAAGGTGGATGGGCAACTCTTCCACTCATTGAGGTCTTCCCCACCTTTACATTCGATGGCTAGCTAGTAAGTGCTGAGCTCTTTTGTTTAGTCTGTTTCATTGGTCTCCACTGCGCCGTCCAGCCCATAGACTGAGGGAACATTTCGAATTAGGCTATTTTAGAGATATCTTGTTTTTGTTTTTGTTTCCTTTTTGATCTCGATTTATCAGAACAAACCCACTCTGCTGTTTAGCGCCATGAGTGGGCCGGCGGAAAGATAATAAAATAAATAAATATAATACTTTTGAATTCGATTGGAACCAATCATTCATTGATTTTGGCCTTTGTTTCTGCATATAGGCCACGTTTAACAGCACTTTTGCATTTTTGAGTCACCTCACCTTTTTTGCCAAGTTGCTGACAAATTCCTAAATAAATTATTTTCATTTCCGGGTGTTAAGAGCGGTCCTTGGGCCGATAAATAAATAATAAATAAATTCAGAACTGTCTTCTATTTGGGTACTGCGCACCTTACTTTCATCTGAAATTTTACTGCAAAATAGTGACATACAATGGCTTGCGTGAACTATCTCTTTTGAGCTGCATTCCTACGTCTGGTTAACACCGGGACCGGTCTAGATAGACGTTCTGGAAGTTAGATATTCTAATGGCATTTACCGTAGTAGCCTACAATCCTGTGAGGCTTTGTAGGTTAAATAAAGTGTGAGGGTAGCTGCCTTGATTCTTTTGTCCTTCCAGGCTCCAAAGATAGGCGATAACGCCAGCCGAATAAAGTGTTATTGAGAATCTTCGGTCGCAAGCTGAGTTGTTCTATTAGCCAGTTCCCTAATTTGCCTCATAGTGAAACCTGAGTGGCAAAGTAGGTGGGCTGTGAACTGTGAGAAAAAATGCGTTATCTCGGTTTCTATCAACCTTAACTCTGAGATACTCTCTATGGAATGCCATTTACCTTCTATCACGAGTTTAGGCTTTTCTATTCCCTGTGAGAAAAGCAGTAATCTCATTAAATCTCACCTCTTCTTTTGTTCTGTTTGAATTACTGCTGAAAAGACATTTGTAATTAGCTCCGTGGTATTACTGTAATCATTACAGTATCTTGGGCTATTTCTAGGCGCTCAAGAAATAGTTACCTTCTTCTTGCTTTCCCATTCCCCTTTTGTCGTCGTGCCGCCTTACTTTTTTCCTTTCTCTTGAATTCATCCATTTATTTCAGGATGGTGCTCGGTTTACTTCTACAGTTACTCCTAATGACGTCGATCGGAACGTCTCCAGTACCGATGCGCAAGACATTCCCTACCGCGATAATTGTCGGTGTCAAGAAGGCTGGCACTCGAGCGCTGCTTGAGTTCCTTCGACTTGAATCCGAATATTCGAGCACCTGGACCAGAAGTGCATTTTTTCGACAAGAACTACCACAAAGGACTGGATTGGTATCGGTAAGTTCATTTCATCTCCAACTATTATGCCTATAAAAATGCTGGTGCACGACTTCTGGGACACTCCCCATGTTTCTGAATCATTCTCAATATTCTTTCGTAGAATTTCTCATAGATGTCATCGCTTATCTCATTCTTCCACCTAGGGCTATGTCTCCAGGTATGAAGTGACACCCATCGCGTCCGGATGAGATCTAGTCACCTTGCC